TGCCTCCCGAGGAGGTTCCGATTGAAGTCAAGTTTCGTGGCTGTTTTTGTAATTATATTAGACTATGTTTATACCATGTTGTATTTGGGCAAGATTTCTGATAACATGTACTTGGAGTGATGTGTGAATATTGTATTTATGTCACCACTCACAAGTCTATAAAAAGTTTTAAGTTATCTGTTCCGTGTATGTCTGCACAGCTCTATGGACTTTGTATGTTTAGTATATTTGCTTCTGCAGCCTCTACTATATGTTATTATGTCAAGAGGCCTTTGGTAATCCAAGGATTACTGGCTGGTTACGATACTAAACCCATAGGGGCGGGTTTGGGTCGTGACACACACACACACACATATAAATATAGCTGAACACAGAAGATGGGTTGAGGAAGAGAGGAGGATCGTGATGGAAGAGCTTTGCAAGGAGATCATGGCGGATATTGTGACAACGGCTGTATTGTGGGGTCGCGACGGTTGAGCGACCACAAAGGTGGTAGCCAAATGGCATAGGCGACAAATATCATTGCTAAATTTGGGCCTCGTTGTTGAAAGTGATCAAAACAGAGCTCTAGGTTTCCTTAACCATGGAGTCCCCAACTCTCCCTAGATACATCCATAAAAAATCCAAGGATTCTCTCTTATATATATATATATATATATCGATGTATACATTCAATTTTGATTGTTAATTAGTATAGGGTTGTTGGAGGTGGGTGTTGAAAGGGAAGATGGTATGTGTTAGGGTTTTTTAGGTTTTGGGTGTAAAGAGAAGGATAAAAGTTAGGGATAAGAGTAATAAATGAGGCAATTACACACAAATATTAATTTATGAACTTATACTCCATTAAGATTTTTTGGACCTTCAAGTCATATTAAATTTTTAATAATTGGAATTACTCTTCAAATAATGATTATTTATCATTTATCTATAAAAAAATATGATGATTTCACATTTATTTTGGTTTTCAAAACTTTAAAACATCAACTTTCAAATTGAAAAAAAAAAAAATTATGTGCAATTTTTTTTTTGAAAAGATTGAAAAAATTGAATTATTTTTTTGTTGTGTTTATAAAGGAGTATGATGATGGAACATTGATGTGCAAAACTAAAAAAAAAAAAAACTTTAAAAATGAAAAACTGATAATGTTTTCAGTTTTAAAATTGGAAAAAAAAATGTTAATATTCTCGATTTTATTGGATAGTTGAATCAAACTAATAAGTAGAAGCGCAAAAATGTTTAATCTCATGCTATGTTTTTTTTATCAGTTAGTGAAACAATCATCTAGAACATTATTATGCAAAATTGATAATATTCTTAGTTTTAAAAGTTATGAAAAACTGATAATATTATCAGTTTTATTAAATAGGATTTATTGGTTCAAAAAATTTTAAATAAGACTTAAATAACCATAACATTTATAAATAGGATGGTTAGAGCATCTCCAATGATTGTTGCTATAATACCATTGCTATTGTTATAATTTGGGAATGAATAGTGCTATTTTGCCAAATTATAGCAATGATGCTCCAATGGTCACTTGTTATTTTGGCAATTCTTAACCAACTTTTCCTCCAAGTTTGAAGGTATTGTTTGGATATAGATTTTTTAGTGATTTTTTTTGGCTTATTTTCTGTCTTTTGTGACCTTTTTCTAACTATTTGTAAAAAGAAATTATATATTTATATTATTCTTGATTAGACAAATATAAAAAATGAAAAAGAAATTAATTTTTTTTTTTTTTTTTAAGGACAAAAGAGCACAACAGCTCTTTTGTATTTCCAAGACACCATTACCACCATCCATGTACCCATTCACCAACAGTTGAGATGCAATATCTAGAATCGTCCCTTGTATTCCAAGACAACACATTTGTCTCCCTCTCTTCCAAACCAGACGGAAGTCCGACTCTCTTCACTTTTTCTCTCTCCCTCTCTTTGCAAAGTCCAACTTTTCGACCTCCAATTCTATTCCTCAGACCCTCTCCGAGATGCCTATTCTGACTCCAACTTCTTCTACGGCGTCGGATCGAGCTCTGCTAAGTACAAGCTCTTCTCTCTGACCAAACTCCCGATCTCTAGGTCCCTCTACATCATGATGGATTTAATTCTCAGCCCGACCTTGTTCATCGAATTCCTTGTTCTCCTCTCCAACATGAAGGTTAGGTCTTCTTCGAATCTCTCACTAGTATCTTCAATTTCAGTACCTGTTCTTTTCTTCAATACATATAAATGTTGCTGTTGAATAGCTATTGTATATTTATATTGTCTATTTTAAATAAATTTTAAGCTAGCAAGAAAGAAAAAAAATATGTTGATATTTGAATTTTTTTATGGTTTTTCAATTCTGTTGGGAGGTTTTCATCTTGAAAGAATTCTATTTTTTCAACTAAATTTGGAGCTAAAAATTTGTTGCTATTTGGTGATGTAGCATATTTGGCAGCTGCTATTCAACCTGCCAAATTTGATAATAGAAATGGCATCTGTTATATTTGGTAAGTAGAATACCATTAGAGACCCTCTTTTTGTCACTCTTGCCAAATTATAACTTTGGCAGGTTGTTTGACAGCTCTGTTGGAGATGCTCTTAGATAATTAACTCATAAATGAATTATAAAAATTATAAAATAAAAAATTTTAAAAATTAAATTTGAGAGTATAAAAGCATCCTTATCTCTTCCCTTATAATATCTCTTTACTCAAAATAAGGAGTTTTTTTTGTCAAAACACATCCCCATCAGTTCCCCTATCCAACCCTCAAATATAAGTATTACTACAGTGACTCCCTATTTGTAGGGAGTAGGGGTGTGCGCGGTGCGGGTTGGTGCGGTTTGAGAGAAAAATAGAAACCGTATGGCGGGTGGCGGATTGATAAAAGTGTCACTAGAATTTGCCATTTTCCTTATCAAAAACCGGCGGTTCGATTGGCAAATAATGGTGGATTTGCCTTGGCGGTTCGGGCGGATTGGCGGTTTATAAAAAATATAATTCAAATTACAAAACTTAAATCAAAGAGTAAAAAAAAAAATGAGAGATACCGTGATGTTAAACATCTTGCGAAGCTTTCTTCTGATTAACAATTTTAGCAACAACATGATAATATCAACGACTATGCCATCAGTTCATTACAAGCATCTGTGGAAGCTACAATGATCAAATACAATACATAAAATTAATATCATTTAGGGTTTACAATATATTGAAAATGTTTACCATCTTGTGAAACTTTCTTCTGATGCAGCAAGTGTAGCAACATGGCCAGAAAAAAAAAAAGATTGAAAAGGGAATTGGAATCTAACTTTATTTTGGATTACTGACATTTTGAATTCCCCTCGAGCAGTAATGTAATACTATATTCTAAGGTATAGAACAACAAGCAAACTTAAGTAAAAAAGAATTTTTAGAATCTTATAAACCATGATTTAATAGCGGTGCGAGTCGGTGCGGTTTGGAAGAAAAATAGAAATCGGCGGATTGATAAAAGTGTCACTAGAATTTGCTATTTTTCTTACCAAAAATCGGCGGTTTGATTGGCAAATAATAACGAATTTGCCTTGGCGGTGCGGCTCGGTGCGGTTTTGGCGGTTTCGGCGATTTTGGCGGTATTATGCACACTCCCAGTAGGGAGTCATTGTAACTCCCTTATATCTAATAAATTCTTATTTTATTTCATTAAAGGCGCAAAGGATGTTCTCCTAGACGTCTCCTGGACATCCTAAAGATGGAAAATGTCCAAAATTAACTTGACCGGTTGACCACCCCTATTTGCTTTCCTCTACTGCTTCATGCTATATTGCTGCATGTTGTGCTGTTGCATTTGTTTTTATTATTAAAAAAATATTTAAATTTAAAAGTAATTAAAAATATTATTTTAATAGAATAGAGAAAAAATAGGAAGTTTGTTGATGGAGGTAGAAGAAAAAGTAATTCCTAAAATAAATAATGAATTTTTAATAATATTTTAAAATAAAATTTAGGTAAGCTGATAATGATGCTCTAATAAGTTAAATTGGTAATATGGGTAGAATTTTTCAAATAATAAATGTTGAAAATAATGTGAATTTGCCAAAGAGGCCTTTCAGTACGGATCAACTAGGGGTGAGCAGCGGATATATCGATCTGCCAAAACCGATCGAACTGAACCGATCCGTTGCATTTTGGACGGATGTGTGATGACGAGCTTACGGTTGCGGATTGATTTTCTCTAATCCGCCAATTTGACGGACGGATGGCGGATTTGAGGTTCCTTTGGCCGCAACTAAACCGCCAAATCGCGAGCACTCTTAGTAATTTATAAGACTTTGTGTTTTTAATTTGTTTAAATATTTTGTTTGTGTTTTCAATTGAAAAAGAGGTCAAATATTCTGTTGAAAAAAAGATTTCAACTTGAATATATTTTTTGAATTGAAAAAAATAAACGTATTATTTATCTATATTTTTTGGTTTTTAAGTCTAACTCTAAATGTAATAAATAGAAAATATGATATATGCTGATTGGTTTTTGTTTTAAAAAACATATATAAATGTAACATTACAGAGACATACAATCTCTACTATTGCTCTGTTCATGGTTTTAGTGGTTTGAATTGTTTTTATATTTTAAGAATTACAGATTGTAATAGTTTATGTACATGATGTATGTTGTGATTGTAATATGTAGATGAGGTATGCAGTGATTGTGATATTCTAAAATTTCAAACTTTATTTCTTTGAATGATGTATGCAGTAATTGTAATATTTTTTTAAGTCATTGATTGTAATACTTTTTTTTTTTTTTGAGAAAATATACAAGTTAAACTATGTTGAAATTTTTTTTAAATTTTAAACCGCTAAATGAATTCGCATTGCAAATTAATTTTTTTTAATTCACTAATTTAATAGATGAATAACAAATTAAAAATTTCGTGGCCAACTTGTGCCCACCCGTAGGACCAACCCACCGGCTCCCACCGTTTTACAGCGCCCCTTTTCTATGAAGAGAAACAGAGAGAGAAATAGGAGATCCTTGAGAGAAAGTGAGGGGCGTGAGTCGGAACACACTCTCTCTCTCTCTCTCTCTCTTCCCTTTGTATATAGATAGAGAATTGTGTCGGTATATATAGGGTCGATACCCGGTATATATAGGGTCGATACCAAATAAAGAGGCAAGCTTTTCTTCCCACCTCTTTCGGCATAGCCTAGAACCTTCTCTCTCTCTCTCTCTCTCTCTCTCTCTCGATGGCCTCTCCATCGCAAGCAAGCCTTCTCCTCCAGAAACAACTCAAAGGTAAACCATTCGTTTACTCTTATCTCGTTTATATTCTAACGTGATTGGTTGAGACAATTTAGAAGGAATTAAAAGAAAGGGTAAGTGAAGTTTCACACTTTATCCCTTTCCCTTTTCAAATCCCAACCCAAATTCTCCAACTAGACACGGCCTAAGGGTTTTGATTTTGACTTCTAATTTTTAGAATTGATCGATCTGTGTTTTGTCTGCACAGATCTCTGCAAAAACCCCGTCGATGGCTTTTCTGCCGGTTTGGTTGATGAAAGCAACTTATTCGAATGGAGCGTCACCATTATCGGACCCCCTGATACCTTATAGTGAGTGTGTGCTCTATTGCTTCATTGTTTAAAGATTAAATTTTTACCGGTTGGAGTGCAGTTTGAGGGTCATTTTTTTTTTGAATTTGATTTGTGCTAGTTTGTTTGTTTTTTTTGGGTTGATTCAATTAATGAATTGGGTCAGATTTTATCTTATATATATATATGGGCTTTGGTTTTGGAATGTTTTTGGGTGATTTTTATTAGTTTCCTTTGTATTCGTGGTTTCGATTTGATTTGGGTGATTTAGGGGTTCGTTTAACTAAGGAAACCCTCATTTTAGGTACGTCATTGTGGATTGTCCTTGTGGTTGAATTTAGAGTTTTGGATGAGGTTCTGTAATAATTTGTGTAAGAATATGAAACATTGGATTTCTGTGACCATTGAACTCGGGACTAAAACTCTTTTAATGTAGTGTTTTACTTCATAAATTGGTTTCAAAGTTGATGTATTTTGTGCTGCTTAGGTTATAGGATGATAGTATTATTTTTTTTGTATAAATTAATGCTATGTTTAGGCTCTGATTTGTGTATCTACTAGTTTTACCAGTTGGAAGAGTTTTTTTTCAAGATGTAATTGAGTGGTACTTGCTGTTATAGTTGTTGTTGATGATTTTTTAAAATTTCCCCAATCAGTTAGGACTCTAATTTAGAATTGCTCTGGACAATGAATTGTTTTCTTACTATGTTTTCCATTTACCAAAATTTTGAAGCGAGGGGGGATTCTTTAATGCAATCATGACCTTCCCATCTAATTACCCCAACAGCCCTCCGACAGTGAGGTTTACCTCAGATGTATGGCATCCAAATGGTTAGTATTTCATTACTGTGTTCAGTTTTATCTACTTAATGTACTTCTTCATGCTGATTGATTAATGGCTTGAAATTTGATGTATGAACAACAGTTTATCCTGATGGAAAAGTTTGCATTTCAATTCTTCATCCCCCTGGGGACGACCCGAATGGCTATGAGCTTGCAAGTGAGCGTTGGATGCCAGTTCACACGGTATTATGAAATTATGTTTGTGGCATCTTTTCCATATTTTATAGTGCGCTTCCCGTTTTCTTATTTGGATTAATTTGTTTTCACCACATTTAGTCGTAGGCAAGACTGATACTAATATTTTGTTTCGTTTGCTTGCTACTTATTTTGTGCTTTAATCTCTGAGGTCTGCTGAATTATTTCTGTACTTTTCTGACCCCCCAATAAGTTCACCAAGTAATTTGGGTGACTTCACAGTTCTGCGACTTCAGTATTTATTTATTTTATAGGCAGCTTGGCAAATCTGTGAAAACTTTGTTCTTGGTAGGTGTACTCTAATTTATTATTTTGAGACCTAGTCCTGAGGGCTGCAAGTGAGTTGGTCTAGCAGCGGTTTGAATTCTGCAGTAATTGTGGTTTGCTGAGTTAAAAAGGAAATTGTAAAGAAATTTGCATCTGGTAACTTGCGTTGTGCATAATCCACTGTATGATTTGTCCATCTGATGACACTTCTGATTGGCAGTGCAACTTGGACCAGATCTGATGGCCAAGTGTAAGGGAAGAATATTGAGAATTTGGCTGGACTAAACCGTGCAATGGCTGGGGGATTCAATTCAAGCCCATCTTGAGGTGCTCGTTTTTAACTCTAGAACAACTCTAGTTTAGAAGTGTCTGCTTGAGTTGAGTTGGGGTTGGATTTTGTTGTTGTAGTGCTACGCTTTGTTCCATGGGTACGTGGGAAATGGGAGCATTTTGATTTTCACAAATATCAGAATGTTGGAAGTAATTTTCCTTTTGTTTTACAGAAAAATGGAGCTAGTTAGTCTGTCTTTAGGTGCAAAAGGGAAGATAATGTGGTCAACAAAGGAAAGAGGGAAAACATGAGCTCCAATGTAATTTGTCTGCCATCTTGATTAGCTTCTGAATTTATTTTGTTCCTCAAGGCTATGCATTGTTATCAAAAGCGGGTCACAAGTCACAGCGAGGTGCACCTATGGCACTTCAACTCTGAGGCGAGGCGACGTTAATGAAGTGCTGTGGAGGTGGTTGAGCCGTGTGAGGAGCACTGAGCTACACACTTCTATAATTGTGTTTGATTCATTAAAGATGAGATATCAACCCTTTGATCTAATGAAACCCATTATACTTTTATGTGTTGGCTTCATCCTGTTAAAGTCCCCAAATAAATAGAGAGCCTCAACCATAATCAACAGATTGAAGACCAATGCCTAAGATTTTATATTTTGGCTTAGATTCCATACTTTTGTTTATTTTTATATTTTATCCTTTGGCGGAGGTAATGGTCAAACAGTAATTTGTAGCCAATATATTTATTGTTAAATTACTTGTTTAATTGTTTATATCATTTACTTAATTTTTTAAGTACTTTATTGCTTAATTGTTTGATTGTATAATTGTTTAAGTGCTTTTAATTGTTTAATCACTTCATTTGAATTTGCTTCATTTGAAATTGTTGATAATGTCAAAGTTATTAAGCACAATGCAATGTGTTGGGTGGTAATAATTTCATGTAAAAATATAATGTGTCATTGGTTAGTACATAGTAAATAAAACACATAATAAGTTTCTTATATTCGTAAAACACTATGCGATATCTATAGCATGCTTCTTGCTCTGGGATGAGATGTCTTTGGTTCTTGGGGTAAAGCGCTTTAGTGTTTTTTTCTATCATTTGGATTGGATTTTGTCATTTGATATTTGTGTTTTATCCGACTTTTAGTTTTAGCCATTAGCCTGACTCCGCATAACATTTTTCCCCTCAATTTTTGAGTTATCCAGCAATAATTTTCTGTATTTTATTTTCTTCGTTTTGACAAGCTTATTACATTTATTCCTTTGTTTAATAACTATTACACAGTTTGCTACCTTTGCCCTTTTTTTGTTAGTTCTCTGCCTTTGATTTTTCTTTTTTGTAAGCGAGTGAATATTTTTTTGCAGGTTGAGAGCATAGTTTTGAGCATAATATCAATGCTTTCTAGTCCTAATGACGAATCTCCTGCAAATGTGGAAGCTGCTGTAAGTGCTAATATTCTCTGATTCTCTTCATATTTTTTTATTGATGAATGCTCTCTCTCTCTCTCTTCTAGTCCTTTTTGCTCAGCCCATCTTTTGGGGGTGACCTGGTGGCGAGTGTGTTGGTTGAGTATGCAGAAATATTATCCACCTTTGTGTAATTGTTATTTTAACAATACTACTAGGCTACGTTTCTGTAGTTTTATGGATTTGACATAAATGGTCTTGGATTTAATTGTTTAAGAAATATAGGGATGACCATTTGTTCAATGGTAAAACCTTAGCCTAATAACCTTGAGGTTATGGATTCAAGTCTTGTGATAATCACTTTGTGCACTATGTCAAAGGTTAGGCGTGTACACAATCTTTGCCCACGCAAACACACATTAATTGGGCATTGTTTTATCTATTTTAAGATTAAAGGGATATGGATTTATGCAAGATATATTAATAAATTTTGAGAGCCTTATGACTAAATTTGGCTAACATTGAAGAGAATTATTTGGATTTGTGGAAAGAGAAAAGTGACAAAACTAGAAGTTAAAATTGTCACTTTTTCCTTTCCCTTTACAAATCTTTTCTCAAATCTATGATCCAAAAATAACCTTAGTGGGTGAGTTTAGTTGCTCAAAGTTTCTAGTGAATATAATCACATGACCTGTGTAGAATCCTTCTCTCCTTAATCAACCCTCCTATATATTTGTGATTTTTTCTTTGATCTGCTTTTATATATTTGTAATTGGAACTATAGTTCTGATATTAAGAATCATATTGTGTATCCAAATTCTAGTTTCGGGAATTGTGAATCAGTTTGAATTGAGAATCATAAGATCCAGCTTAAACTATGAAAAAAATGATGTGAAACATTAGTAAATAAATAAAACAAAATAATTTTGACACATTTTATACAATAGGTTTTTAAGGACATGGTTATATCATGATGTGGGTTCAAATCCCACCAGCTATAAAATTATTTAAAATCATAATATATGCTCTCCTAACTTGAATAGAAATCTTGAATAGAGTAGAATAAGAAGAGTAACCAAAAACTTAAAGTTGAAAAAAAAGAAGAAAAAGTTCATACTTTTAAACTACTTTAGCCTTAAACATTCTTGACATTTTTTTGAGGGTGAAAAAAGGATTGATCTTGATGTGATTGTGTAGGATGGACCAAGTAACCCAAAATCATGGTCATTGTTATAAAATGGGATGCAATTAATCCAAAAATGTTGGTTCAAGTTTGAGTCTAGCTTGTGAGTTGGTCTAAGGATAAATTAGAAGATATTGAGTTTCATTCCCAGATCAAGAGAACTTATTTGATCCTGCTACATTTGATTGGACATTGTGAAATCCTCTAATCACCAAAAAACAACAAATTGTGCATGGTTTTGGTAATTTTTGTGTTAGATATTTGTATCTTTACATTTTCATGAAAAGAAGAGGTGAAAGAGTGTTGAAATCTGTCAGACCTTGATGGTCGTAAACAATTGCATGAATCTTAAATTGTGAATCAAATTATAAATTGAATTGTGAATCAAATTATAAATTGAATTGTGAATTGTGTGATTCATCAGTGATTTTGTCCCAAAATAGAATCACCCATAGATTCAGATCAATCTGTGAATGAATCAGGACTTGTAAGATGATGATAACAAAGATTGGAACTGAAAACCCATCATTTCAAATTCATCCTCCAATTGCAACCTAAAACTTTTGTTCGTCAAATTCCTCAAAAGCTCCATTGGTGAATGGTGCTTTTGACATGCTCCTTTGTCTACCCAAAAATAGTAATACTAGCAGTATAAAAAGAAATGTCTTATTACATCCTAAAAAAAGAAAGAAAAAAGAATAGAAGTCTCTTCTATTCCATGCAATTATGGACTCCATATGCTAATAGAGATTCATGTTATATTCCTTTAGACCTTGCTTGGCCCATAAATTCATAACGATCTATCCTGACATAAAGTGGCATCAACTGATCAATATTATGTGTCCAATAAGAAGTAAGTGGAATATGCAATAAGCGAGGATGAGATCTTTTTAGTAAGATGAAATTGCATTTACTTTCTAATAGTGTATTTCTAGTAGAGAAGTATGTCTTCTTGCTAATCCAATATATATTATTTCAAATTTGTAATCTACTTAATTAGTCAGGTGACGCATTTGTTTCGTTCCCTATATTATTTTCCAGATATGTAGCAAAAGGTTAGTGGAGAAATACTGTATATGAAAATTTCTTATTTCCTTTCAACCAACACTGGCGCACTTTATTAAAAGATTGTTGGGAAAATTACAAAGATGACCCGAAGATTTGACCCTTTTTACAAATTAAACCCTGAGATTTTAATTTTTTAAAATTCAACCTTGACCTTTTGAATTGGTTTCAATCTAAACCAACCATCAATCTTTGCTAACTTATTTAACGACAAATATTGGGTGCACATGTGATAGTCACTCTTTCAATTCTAACTTTTTGTCTTAGCCACACTAAGTCACAATCACCTTTTAGCAACCATCCATCACCGTCACTCACAATCTTACCAAGCACCCCAATCTCCCTAATCAACCACTATCGTTTTCCTTCACCTACGTAGTCCCTCTCTTCCTTGTCCCTCTCACCACTCACGACCCATGCTGTTCCCATGCTTCACGGGAAAATAGCTTTCTTAAATGTTGAGTCCATCTGGATCGGCGACAATGTTGTGTTGTACATTGGATTTTGGTCGCATTGTTTGAATTTTATTTAGAGGCGGGCAATGGTGGTGATACTGTCAAATGATTGGAAGCCAATCGTCAATGAGCTTGCCGAACACGAGTTGATATGATGGCAACATTGATCAGATCAGCATCGAACATGTTGTCCTTGACTTGGAATTCCACCTGAAAAACGTGGTGAGCGAGAGGGATTTTGAGGTGCTCGTTTAACATGGGATTTTGGTTTGTTGGAGATCACGTGCATTTGGCTATGGAGGCATTGCCGAGGCTGATGGTGTTGTAAGGATCATTAATTTTATGATGATTTTGCAGTGGTGGTGGTTTTTTGGCTTTTTTCGGAGAATGATTTTTGACAAACATTTAAGGCAGTGATGCAGTGGCGGATATGCTCTAGAACTAAATCCATGTTCAACTAGTACCAAGATCGCTATGAAGATATGCAACTCCATTGGAATTATCCTCTTGCATTGGGGAAGCTCTTAATCTCATGATCAATCATAATGCGGCTTAACAAAACCTAGCAGATGCCTCAATAAATGTCATGGGCAAAGCCTCGTATGTACTGGCCCAAGAAATTGTTTGCACTTAGGAGGTTTCGAACTTGAGACCTTAGATGGAGCACACCCACAAGCTAGTGTTTTAAAAGGAGGCCTAAGCGCTCGCGCACCTAAGGCTCCTCCCACAACTTGAGGTGTCACTGTAGGAAAGGTGCATCTGAGGCGCGTGCCTCATGCGCTGCATTTAAAATTGCACTCCATCCTTATTCTCTGTGTGTAACCACAGGGAATCACAACCCCTTTAATATAAAATGTAAACATATGCTTTGAGCCCCAATTTTCATATTAAAAGAAAAAAAAGCCCGAAGCATTGAGCGAAAGATTTGGTATTGCGAGATGGATATATGACTTTGCAATTCCTTTCAATGTAGTGAATTATGACAGTTTTAGGCCAATGATTAAAGCTATCTTGCAATTTGGTCCTAGTTTAAAATGTTTTTAAGTTATTATATGGTGCAAATTTCTTATCTTTAAAAAAAGAAATGAATCACGTCAAGAAATTAATGGAGGAAGATAGATAGTATTGGGTATAGTAAGGTTGGGTGTTATTTTTTAGAAATTTTTGGAATGTTGAATGTTATTTTATGGTTTTTGGAATATTAAATAAATGTTATTTTATGTTTTTTGAAATTCTAGAAATATTTGCTTATGTTGAAAACTTGCCTGTAGTAAAATTTTGTTTATCTTCTACAACTTGAGCCTCGCTTTGGTGTGGCATACACCTCTTCACTTTGGCCTCATGCTTAGGCTCAAAGAGACCTTAGCGCCTCAATACGCTAGAGCTTTTTAAAACACTGCCTCAGGACCTAAGCCATGATCACCAGGCCAATCCCTTCGCATGTATGAAGTAGACACAGTTAATTAACGTTAAAATATATATTTCAGGGCAAATGACAACTCCACACAAAAAAAAAAAAAAAAAAAAAAAAAAAAAAAAAAAAAAAAAAACACGCGCGCGCTCACACATACACACAGTATCACTAACGAATGATTGACGAAGGGAAGTAAGTGTTATGCGAATCAAAATCTTAAAAGAGAACAATGTAATTATCCAACACTTGGGGGGCTAGGTACTCTAGGGAGGTTAGTGTAATGTACCCTTTTAAAAAAATGGTTGTACTTGGCATCATCTTTTTGTAGGTACAAGTCAATGTACCATTGTAGATTTGACAATGTTGAGTCATGAAACACACAATATTTGATTGGGTTTTGGGAGTATTCTTAATGTGGAATTGTAGTAATGATTTTTTTTTGATTGGCGAAAGTCAGTTGTTAGTTGTTAGATTAGCATCTATAGTAGTTAGCCTCCCCACTCTTTGCAAGCACTAAGTGCTTGCTTCCTTAATTCAACTCCCAACCCATGACCTTTCCCTAGGGACTAAGCCCTTAGGAAAGTCATGTAGTCAACTAGGCTAGACCTAATTGGTTGGAATTGTAGTAATGATGCGTGATAATTAAATCATAAACGTCCCAGTCAGTCCTACACTTCAATGTTGAATATCTAAGTTTTGCTTTTGTGGTTTTTTAAATGCTTGTTTGAGGTTGATGCAGAATGTTCCCTCATGTTCGGTGATTAGTTTTTTCACATTGGGAACATTTGGACATTTTATTTGTTTATCCCCCAGGTTCCCTGAGTCTACACATCTTCTCATATTCTTTCGAATTGCAGAAAGAATGGAGAGAGAGAAGGGATGAATTCAAGAAGAAAGTCGGTCGCTGCGTGAGGAAGTCACAAGAGATGTTGTGAAATCTGCCCCCCACACACTGGTTGCTCCAACTTTTGCAAAAAAGAAAATCATGTCTCACTGTGTGTAAGGGACTTTTATTTGGTGCTTATGTAAGTTACCATTCTCAATCAATTATCTATGCTCTTTTTTGGACATACAAATTTCATATATAATATTAAATGTGGAAATGCAATTGACAGTGGACTGCTCTTGTTTTTTGCACCGTGGTGGTTTTGGTGGAACTTTGTGGTTTTATTAGTCTTATTCTTGCCTAAATCTTGCCTAAACCATAAAATAAAACCTAGTTAGTAATGTTTCTCTACTGGAACCTCATCTGTCCCATTTCCCGTGAAACTGAAGCTGAGACTTGAGAGACAATCTGGGAATTTCCTGGTTTCAGATTAAGGAATGACATAGCCACTTTGATCTTGGTTTTGAAATCTAGACATAGTAAATGCCTGGAAAGATAGAAATTTAATAATTGGGCCTAAGGTCTTTTGACCCACTGTGACTGAGCACCCAAAATGAAAACATGATGAAAACCAAGAAAATCAACACTGCTAGCGATTGTATGTTCACAAAAACTTTCGTTATTGTTGGACTGTTTTCCGGTTGGATGGTTGATAAGCCAAATGCTTTAGAGTGAGGAAAATAAGGGTTGCAAAGAGGAAGAAAGAGGAGATAGCGGTAGAGAGGGAGCTATGGGTCTGGCCATGGTTATGGTGTTACCCAATGGTGTGTGTCTCATTGTTGCAAGCTGTTTTTCTCTTTCCAGCATATATACACAATTGATAAATTTATAGGTTGGGCAAATGGTCTGAAGAACTCCGGAATTGATCCAAGCAGAGCTACTTGGGTTAAACTCTTAATTGAGCTTGGTTCAATTCTAAATAAAGAAGTGGTCAACCCAACCCAACCCAACCCAATTCAGTTGAGTATTAGTGCCATTTCTCCAAACCTCAGGGGGAGAGGTGGGTGAATTTATACCTATATATGTATAACATTTAACTTGCTAGTTGAGGTGATGTAGGTTTGTCTAGTCAGGGAGTAGCGGGGCTGGAAGGTCACTTTGACAGTTTATTTGCTACAACATATATTCAGATTAAAATTTGAAATTTAATGTTAAAAAAAGTTAATTTGTTTAAGCACATTCATTACTTTTTGACTTTTTAGCATAAGCATGTTTAATAGCGTTTCTTATTTTTTGGTTTTTATGCTAAAGGATCAATTTACCCATAATATAGAAATTCAATAGTTAAGAGCATGCATGGCACGAATGAAGTGGAAATGGAATGAAAGTTGGAATGACATAGGAATAGAATGATAATTTTCATTTTCATGTCTGACTCTGCCTTTAAATTAATATAATGAAATATTTATTTATTTATTTATTTATTTTTTAACAAGCTAGTAACAAACAAATTAAAAATTTATATAGATCATGACAGTTGTGGAAGTGATGGTGTGAGTGGTGGTAGTAGGATTGTGGTGGTGGTTTGGTTTTTGTGATAGTGGCGGTAGTGGTGGTAAGGTAATAGTTGTAGTGGCAGAGGTAGTGAAGGCGGTAGGAGCAGTGGTAGTAGGGTAGTGGTTCTAGCGATAGTGGTGGTGGTTGTGGCAGTTGGGACGGTGGTAGTTGTGCAGATGGTAGTGGTGGTAAATATGGCAGCGGTAGGGTGATGGTTGTATGGTGATGTGGTGGTTGTGAAGGTAGCAGTAGTGGTGGTGATATGGTGGTTGTAGTTGTGGCAATGGTGGTGGTGGTGATATTGTGGTGGTAGTGGTGGTGGTGGCAAAAAGGTGGTGGTTGTGGCGATGGTGGTAGTAGTAATGGTAGTGGTGGTGGCAGTGGTGTAAAGGGGATGGTAGCAGAAGAGAATGGTAGTGGTAGCTAATTGATATTATTTTATAGTGATTCTCTAATGGAATGAAATAGTTATTCTTTAGGTTGAAGGTAGGAATATGCATTCTTACGTTGCATTAGAATGTCTATTCTCACTGGGACAAGATGTACCAAACATGGGGGAAAAAAATGCGAAGTTAGAAGATGCAATCCATTTCATCGTACCAAACGTGCTTTAAGAGTAAGGAAAAGATTAATAATGTTAGAAACATTAATTAGTATACCAATTAACACACCAGCTAGATACAATATTCAGTAGGACTATGTTAAGCAGTGGAATTTACCTATATATTAATTGGTGCTAACATTATTGAAAAAAGATTGGTGAGACCAAAAAAGGAAAATAGCGAAAATGGTTGACTTGGCTGGGCTGGGCTTTTGGGGTGGAAAATACGCCAATTCATGGTTGAGGTGGGCTTTTGGTGGTAATTGAGTTTGTCAAATGGGTGAGGTTATTTGGAGGGATTCTATTTGGACTAAAAAAATCATTAAGTATGTTTAATTTTTCATTACACTATAAAATTATTTCGGATTATAATTTACTCTTAATATATCTTAAATTTTTTTTCCAAATATACCCAAATAATAAACAAATAAAAAATCCCAAAATCAGGAGGGAGCAAGTACAACTGTTTCACGTCTTCATAGGACTGTTTCCTTTCAGGAGGAGATAATGGCATTGTACCACTTGTAAGGAATTGTTTGTTTGCTTGTTAGCGGTGTAGATTTTGGGTTGCCCAGACATTCAAATAGGCGATGATAAATTTCACGGGAAAGTTTAGTTTGCTTTTAACCCTTCTACTTTATTCGTCTGCCTTCAATGGCCGAAACAGGTTACCTCTTGTGTTTGTTGTACACTAAAAAGCAAAGTCCAACTGCGAGATATTTTTGTTTGGCTACGGCTTTTTGGACTAAAAAAGTACAAAAAAATAAAAAAATAAAAAAAACAAAATAGGTTAAATAAGTTAATAAGACAAAATATTATATAAAAATCATAATCATTTCATTTTTTCTTTTGCAAAAGTCAAAAAAATCAATTCAAACAAACTTTTTAGTCCCAAATTAAAAAAGTCCTAACTCAAAAAAGTAAACTAAATTTTGTTTTACCAAATGACAACTTAGTTGATTAGTTGAGAATATGATTAATATGCGTCTAGCGAAGCATAGAAGATTAGCGAAGGCGATGATATCGAAAGATGTTTGGAAGATTGGCTTAATGAAAAATCAAGAGGTTGTCAATGAAAATACATGGTGCATATTGTGTTATTATTTTCTTTTATTTGTAAGTAACAACACAATAAGTAACAATAATGTTGATATTAGGCTAATAGTGTTGTTATTTCAAAATTTTAGTTGGGTTATTATCTCAGTGCAAATAGAATCACTTGATTATTTTTAGCCTAATAGACAAGCCCAAATGAAATGTTTGATAATTTTTTTTGATAAATTACATTGAACTTGAAGTTTAGAGAAAATACAGGTAGTTCTATGTTTGTCATCCGTAATTTATTAATTGTATGGATAGAAAAATGATTCTATCATATGATTTTTACTAAAAAAAAAGTATATTTTACCTAGAAGTGGCAAACCCAGCCTAAACTCATGAACCAACCTAATTAAACCCATCTAAAACCTATATAAACCCGCCCAAATCAATAAATGGACTTAAATGGAACTCAATTAAAATTGGATTTACTTGGATTGGACATGGGTACCTTTTTAAGCCCGTATGGGCACCACTTCTATCATCAATCCACCTCCACCATCATTACTTCGCCGACACACCACTGCCACCACCGCTACTCCACTACCACCACCGCCACCATCGCTACACCACCACTACCACTACCACTACTACCACTTTTCCTTTGCCACTCCACTGCCGCCGCTGTCGACACACCACCAACACCACCTTCTCCTCCACTAACCAACACCACCTTCTCTTCCACTATTGCCACTCCACCACCACCCCCACCACCACCATCGCCATACCACTACCTCCACTCCACCACCACCATTATCATAAAAATATAAAAAATATTTTAAAAATAAAAAATACAAAAAGATAAAGTAAATGGGTTGATTGGGTTCAATTGTCCAGCCTGTATCCAATTCAACCAAATTTGTTTAAGGCCATTTAATAAATAGGTGCCTTTGGATTGGATTGCTTTAAATGTGTAGACACACTATTTTGACCAACCGTAAAGACTTAGGCACTTGAATTGTTTCCCGATGATAAAACAGTAAAGACTTCAACCTTAGGGATACTTCAAGTTATTATATGCTACTATACCTCCCTGTTTTAGCCAAAATAATCTTTTTCTAGCCAAAACAACCTTTTTTTTCAAAATCACCATTTTGCCCCTAGGAATTTTCAACCAAAACTAGCCCATTTTTTTTTCTTTCTAAAATGACTGTTTTGCCTCCAACCTGTTTTTAGCCAAAACCTATATTTTCAACTTCCTAGAGAAAAAAATAAGGGAGGAAAACTCCGGTTGAGCTTAAATTGATGATGTTTTTGAAAGAGTTTGTTGATTTTCGTTTAAAACGTCAATTCATAATCAACTCAGCTTACTTAGGCAACAAGCGAGCTCGAAAATCGAGAGTTTGAACTAGACACTTCGTGGACCAGTGGGTTGACCAACACACGACCATACTTAGAGAGTAAACGTGCACCGTTCATGAAGAGCCCACGCTTTGCATAAAAAATCTACACGTGCATGGGAAATCCACACATTGGACTAAGCTAACTTGCACCAAGGCAACATGGGATGGGTGACTGCACATGTGAGAGGAAGTGCGGTTGCACATGTAATGGGCGGCCGCACGTACAGCCAGCCCAGGCAAAGTCTTGGTTTGTTTTAGTTTCTCCCACGTTTTGAGTGGGAGGTGCTAGGAGTTAGCGATGAGGAAACCCTAGGACGACCTTTCTTGGACTTCAAGCCTCCCCATGCCTCATTTGTTAAAGGACGGAAGAGTTAGAATTATTTTAAGTTGGTTTGAGTGAGATAGAAGTGTGATACACCACCCTTACCTCTCAAATCCGAAATCCTCAAATCCTAGAGGCCGCACATTAGTAATCAAAGTAGATATAAGGTTGAAGAAGCTTGATTAAATGATGGCCAAAGCTTGAGGGAAGTAATCAAGCTGGCTTTATCGATTTTGCTCGGTTTCTTCGGTTTGATTCAAACCAACAATTCTGTCTCTGATTTTTGTTTAAATAAGGTACTTTTAATCATGTTTTACAGCTTTGATTAGAATGTTTAGTGTGCATTCTTGATCATGTTAGTTCATAGTTTTGTTAGTTTTTCACTTTGTT